TTTATTTAAAGACTTTACATTTACTTTTAGTTTAAATTAAAAGTAGCCATTTTAGTTACACCCTTTACAAATAGTTCGATATTATTCTCTTGCAAATTTAGTTTACAGTTTAAGTAGAAATATTTCTAAGTTAGCATAGTAAATTCATTATTTCTCTGTGGGTTCGATACTGAGGTTTTTAAAAAAAATTCAATATTACTTGAAAAAATATGTATGCTTGCGTAGTGCCCCTAGTGTGTAAACTATTAATCAATTTAATTACACATTTATTTTCCACACTAGCCGCTTAATATAAATTGGGTAAATATTTTGGTTAGCTTTTCGAACTTAAATAATTACATAATTGTGGGTCGGGTCAAAGCTCTTAAGAGTAAGGAGAGACACAAGTGGGCTGATGCAATGGATGACGAAATGACTTCTTTGATGAAAAACAAAACTTGGGAGCTTGTGGATAGACCAAAGAACCAACGGTTAGTTGGTTGTAACGGGTTATTCAAGAAGAAGGAGGACATATCATGCATTGAAAGTCCAGGTATAAAGTCAGATTAGTTGCAAAGGGATTCTCACAGGTTGAAGGAATTGATTTCAATGAATTTTTTTTACCTGTGGTAAAACATTGCTCTATCAGGTTGTTTTTAGCACTAGTGGACCAATTTGATTTGGAACTAAAACAGCTAGATGTTAAAACTACGTTCTTACATGGAAAGTTGGAAGAAACCGTCTATATGGCCCAGCCAGAAGGGTATTGTACGCTTGAAATCAGAGATAAAGTTTGCTTGCTAAGGAAATCATTATATGGACTTAAACAAAGCCCGAGACCATGTTATAAAAGATTTGATGAGGTTTATGTTAAGGATTGGTTTTGTCAGAAGCAGCTACAACACTTGTGTAGAGTGGTAAAGTGGTGATATAAGTACTTATTTGCTCCTATATGTAGATACATGAAGGAGCAAGATGGTGATATAAGTACTTATTTGCTCCTATATGTAGAGGATATGTTAGTAGCTCGCAGAAGCAAGGAGGAGGTCTAGAAGATCAAAGGTATGCTCAACTCAGAATTTGACACGAAGGACCTGAGACATACCACAAAGACTACCACAAAGATCTTAGGGTTGGAGATCACAAGAGACAGAAAGAAGAGTAGCTTGTTCTTGTCTCAGAAGTCATATATTCAAAAAATTCTAATAAAGTTCAACATGCACGAGGCCAAGCAGGTTACAACACCAATTGGACAACACTTTAGATTGTCAAACTCTCAAGCACCTGAGAGTGAAGATGAGAAAAGATACATGGAGAGTGTCCCTTACGCCAGTGGTGTTGGTAGCATCATATATGGGATGGTTTGCAACAGGCTAGACTTGGCCTATGTCGTCAGCATCATAAGCAGGTTCATGACAAATCCTAGATAGGCTCATTGGGAAGCTCTAAAATGAATTCTTAGATACTTAAGAGCTACTACTGAGTTGGGACTGCTCTTTAAGAAGCTAGAGAATGAAGAGGAAAAGGTGGTCAGATATGTGGACTCTGATTATGCAGAAAGAATTGACACCAGGAAGTCATTGACTCGATTTATTTTCACTGTCTTCGGTACTGCAGTCAGCTGGAAGTCCAATCTCCAATCCGTTGTGAATCTTTCAACAATAGAGGTTGAATGCATTGTTGTGACAAAAGCAATTAAGGAGGCTATGTGGCTAAAGGGCATGGCTGAAGAGCTTAACATACATCAGAAGGTTGTAACTGTATTCTGCAATAACCAAAGCACAATTCACTTGACCAGGAACCAGGTCTTTAATGAGAGGTCTGGCCATATAAACGTGAAGCTTCATTTTGTGAGGAATGTTGTTGCTAAGGATTCAATAGTAGTAGAGAAGATACCCACTGAAGAGAATCTAGCTAACATGCTCATCAAGGTGCTACATTCAGCTAAGTTCAAATACTGTCCGGACTTAGTGAAATCAACCAAGGATTAAAGGCCCTTTGGGGCTGTTTGGAGGGAATCTCTATTATGGAGATTTGTAATTGGGAGTCAAAGTGGAGATTTGTTATGAAGACTCTCAATTAGGTGAACTAACAACGTTGCAGCTTATAATGAGGTTTCAATAGCTAAAGGAGATAACAGTCATTTGGCTATGACAGGTGTTGAACCGATCAACTTGAGAAGAGTCATTGTCTATATATATAATGTGTATGTGAGTTTAGAGGATTAAGGGGAGAAAATCCGAGATCAAAGAGAAGAACCAAGAAAACTTGTATTGAGTGGAAGATCGAGAGAGAGTTTGAAACATGGTCCATCTCTAGGATTGAACAATGTAATCATTATGATTGTCTTAGTGAATTTATTCCTTGATTCCCTCTCGATGATGTAGGTCTTATGGACCGAACCACGTAATCTAGGTAATCTTGATTTGAGTTTTCTTTTAGTTCCTTTTCTTGTTTATTGTCCTACAGGTTTTCTAGAGCAAATTCTTCAACATCTTGATTGTAGTTTTCTCCGCCAAGGTTGAAATCGAAAAAGTTATAATGATGATTTTTACCCGTTTGAATTTATATTATGCTGATAGTTCATAAATGTTTACGCAAATAAACTTGAAAAAAACTCAATTAAATTATTCTATTACCCCGAGTTAAAAATCACAAACTCTAGCCACCAATTTTATATATTATCTTAAGGCTTTATGAATAAGAGCTTATACCATTGCATATTTTAAAAACCCAAGCATCCGCTCCTCTATTTTCGAACAGCCACCTAAGTTCATAAAAATAAATTTAAGAGATTTGATAAGGGACAAAAGTTTGCTTGGTTGTAACAGATACTTTGATGCTTTGAGACTGTTGAACTTCTTGGTTTTTTTGTGCACAGCTATCTATGCATGTGTATCGGCTACATTTGCTATAATTTCTTTTGTATTGTATCTTATTTTTAATATTCAGGTGCAGAACACCGAGAAAGATGACTGAATCTTGAAGAAAAAAGATCAAGATGGTGCGCAGTGAATGAGAGGTGGTCCAAATTTACAAGGCTTCTCCACTTATGGAGTAATGATATTTGATTTAATGTAAGTTGTGCTGGAATTCCAGGGGCGGTAAACACCTAAACATAGATGTATGCTACAATCGAACCACGTAAAAATCGTTACACATATATTTGTTTTGCTCCTTTATATGTTCATATGATTTGCTCTTCTTAATGAGTTTATGTTGTAATCTTAGTGATGAAATCAATAGTTACTGTATGTTTTATGTGTTTTTGAAACTTAGGTTGCATCTCAAAACTATTACTTAATATTTCAAACTAATCTTCACCATTGGTCTTATCCTAAGAAACAGGGGAGGAGGGGTTTACATGGCTCTTGTAAGCCAACAATTAGTATAGTAAATTTCACCGTTCACTGGAATGTAGGGTAGTGCTCTTGCTCTCAAGTATCTATTGCAGATGATAGAGAATATGGTGATCCCTCAGAATCGCCGCACTAAAAGTAGCTCTAGTTCTTCCTTGTCAATCTCTCCTCCATCTCAGCAAGATACCTCCCTACAAAACATACACTCCTTCACTCATTTATTCTTCCTTGTCACTCTCTCCTCCATCTCAGCAAGATACCTCCCTACAAAAAAATTTCCATTTTTCAATATTTATTTGTCCCTTTTCTTCTTGAAGTGGATTTCTTATAGTTCTTAGCATACTTCATGCTGAATGCACCTTAGAAAATATTAAATCCAAAAAAAAAAATCTTGGATAATACCAAAATATTATTAGCACTTACAATAAGAAAAAAAAGTTAATAAAAAGAAAAGAGAATTTTGAGTGAGAAGCTCTAGAATTTCACTAAATAAGAGCTTAATTAGCCTTAACCACATATTTATAGATTTGTATCGAGATTTGAGCACTATAAAATAAGTTATATAATACACCACATCGTAACAAAAATGCATAGAAAGACTCAATGGTCATTTACCATAAAATACATGAGATCTGTAGTCTAATTACAAAGGACTAGTTCAGCCAGAGTCTTCAAAGAATGAGGCCATCTACTTAGTGGTTGAAGCCGCAGGTTTACTAGATGAACTTACCAGCTTGGTTGAACGAATGTTAGATAATGAAGTTTGAATTTGGGCAAGTTTGCCATAGTCCTGAAGAGTTCATATTGAACTAGACAAGTTTTTGCTGATTTTAGTGAGTTAATATCCACCATGGCAAGTATAAGTTAGTCTTAGCAATTTATCTTGAAGCTTGCACCGAACCCTTGAGAATTTTTTATGTGCAGTGATATATAATAGGACATATTGCTAGTGCAAAATATCCTAAAATAAGAAACTAAATGAAAGTTAACACATAAGATGACAAGTTTTTCTCAATCTTCAACAAAAACATTGAAGACCAGTTGACCATGATCTTTAAGGATTAAATGCAACAAAGCCATCACAAAATACTGAACCACAAGAAATAATATTGCGTCTGGAGTCCGGACCCAGAGTTGCGTCCGGACAACGGACGTGATATAGTGGGGAGGAGTGGAAGCTCTAACTACAAAATACTGAACCACAAGAAAAAATATCAAGCCCGGAGTCCGGACCCAGAGTTGCATCCGGACAATGGACGTGATATAGTGGGGAGGAGTGGAAGCTCTAACCTCCGTCGTATCACGTCCGTTGTCCGGATGTAGCTCGCTTCCGGACTCCGGACTCAATATTTTCTTGAACCACATAGGGAAAATGCATAGAATCCCAATCTTTTTACCCCTTAGTTCCGATAACATGACGACCTATCAAACTTCTCAAAAGAACCCCATTTTAAAATGAAAACATTAACTCACCATGAACTTGAGTGAGTAATTTGCCGGGGCAGAGACATTCCCCTTTTATATCCTATGATATGATTTTCACAATATATTTCTTCACAAAATGAATCCCATCGCAGGTAAATCCGCGAGATTAAGATTGGAGAAGCAGATGTGAGCTAGAAATCACAAAATAAATTCAATATCATAAATAGGCTTTAGCGATAGAAATCACAATATGAATTCACAATTATTAAGATCCAATAACGAATCACAAGTTCATTAGTTTGATGGCCATCAGTATAATGTAAACATCAGAAAAACTGGCTAGTTGAAACCCTCTAGAATCGAAGAGAAGTGAGCTTACTACTTTTCTCTCAGTCGGCATCTTTCTCACTCAGACTTCGTGTCCACAAAGGACTCGTGAATGGCGGACGTGGGATCAACCATATGCGGTCCCGTCTCTCTCCTCTCGAGCTCATGAAGGTTGAAAGTGAGAAGCTTCTCCCAATCATCCCCTTCAAAGAGGACTCCAGCATTCCCGTCGGTGACCCTCTGCACGATACCACTGTACAGGTAGAAAGGGTTTTCCGGGTTCTTCACATTTACAATCATCCCCGGCATTAGCGATGGAAGCTCAGGGGGCTTGGGCTTCGAATCCTGAAGCAGATCTCCCGATGGCTCCTCTCCACCGCCACTTTTCTTAATGGGAGGCGGATTCTTCTCAATGAAGCTTTGAAGACCCTTCTCGCCACCGGGGAAGCCACCAGTGAGCCCCATAAGTTCCTTGTCGAAGCTAAGTTCGTCCACAGGGTTGGAGGGTGAAAGAAGAGTGGTCTCGACGGAAACGGCATCTTGATTATGAGGTAGGGATTCTGTTTCTCTGATGGCTGACTTCTCGAGCTCCATTCTGAGGCCCTGTTCTCCATTGCAGAGGCCCCGTCCGCCCATCATCTCGTAGAGGTTGAACTTGGCAGAAGGAGTTATCACTGTGTAGTTACCGGACCTGAAAGAATGATGGAGGATTGATGGGGCTTTGCGAAAGAGAAAGCTGTTATTTTGAAGTAGAGGATTTCGGACGGTGTCGAAATGGAGTGGAATGGAGGAAGAAGCCATGGCGTCTACTTGGTGATCTCTCCTACTGCGAGAATCGGAGAGCTGAGCTGCTTGCCATTTGCCTCTTACTTAAAATTTGTGGTGTGAGATGCATCATATTCATCCACGGCATCTCATAAAGCTAAATAATGAAGTAATTCTAAATCATAAAATTATATATATAATATATATATTATTTTTAATTATATTAAAAATTAGGTACTAGAATTTTGTAGAGGACTGTAGCATAAATTGGTTATATATGTCTAGTTGAAGGCCATGATAGCAGATGGTTACTTTAAGAATGTTGGTCGGTCGTAGAAGCCGTGATAGAAAGCTATAGAAGTTGTGAGTTATATAGACTGTAGTTGATTATATAAGCTATTGTGGTGAGTTGTGATGACGTTCGTAGGCCATAGAGGCATGAGTCAAGAGCTGCACAAGTTGTGAGCCACGTAGATCATAATTAGTCACATAGGTCATAGTGGTGAGCTATAATAATGTTTGTATGTCATAGAAGTTAGAGTCGATAGCTAAATGAATTGTGAGCCATGTAAGTCGTAGTTGGTCACATATGTTATAAATGTGAGTTATAATGACATGTAAGTCTCATGGGCCAGAGTTAGGAGTTGCACGAGTTATGAGTCATTTTGGTCGTAATTGGTCACGTAAATAATAGTGGTGAGTTGTGATGACTTATGTAGGCCTCAAAAGCCGGAGTCGGGAGTTGGGCATGTTATGAATCACATATGTCGTAACCGGTCATGTAGGTCGTAATTGAGAGCTATGATGACATATGTAGGCCACAAGTATCATTGTCGGGATCTGCACGAGCTATGAACCACATGGGTTGTAACTAGTCATGTAGGTCGTAGTGTTGAGTTGTAATAATGTTCGTAATCCATAAGAATCGGTGTTGGAAGTTGCACAAGTTGTAAAACGCATAGACTATATTTGGTCACGTAGACTGTAGTGGTGAGCTGCAATGACGTCTGTGGGACATAGGGGCCAATTTTGGGAGCTATATGAGTTATGATAATGTTTGTAGCATGTCAAGGCTTGAGTTGGGAGCTACATGTTATGTAAGTCATGTAGGTCGTAGTTGGTTATGTAGGTCATAATAGTTAATTATGTTGAAATCAGCAGGCAGCAAATGTCGAAGTTGAGAGCTACACAAGCTATGGACAACGTAGGCCATAGTGAGGAGTTGTAAGGTGAGAGCTTCATGCGTACGGAGAAATTCATCATTATCGGGGTGCATTATTACACAATCTTTGGTAGGTGTTGTTGCACCGTATGTCGAGTGTATTGTTATGGCATCATCGGGAGTGCCGTTCACTATATTTGGGGTGCATTGTTTCATCATCTTCCGAATGCATCGTTGCATCATATGTGAGGTGTGTTGTTACCATGCCTTTGATGAGTGTAGTTGCATGGTTTGTTGGATGATACGTTCACTATATTTGGGGTGCATTGTTTCACCATCTTCAAAATGCATCTTTGCATCATATGTGAGGTGTGTTGTTACCATGTCTTTGATGAGTGTAGTTGCATGGTTTGTTGGATGATATATTGCTCTGTGAAATGCTCACAACTTCATAAAGTATAGTGGGATTCCGTAATGCACATTGTGATTCCAAAAAGAACTTCACTGTAAGAATTAGTTGGAGGCTGATGGTGGTCGGCGGCCGGCGAGCGTTGGTCGATGGTGTTTGACAGTTGTAGAAGAATGAATTCATCTGATTGTTGATGCAAAATACAATACGGGGAAATGCCCGATTAGTATCAGATATTTTCAACGCTAATCGAGCCATTTTTCGACGTTAAAGCAGATTAGTGTCGAAAATATTTTGGAATTAAAATGTGCATCACTAATTAATTTTGCATTGACATTAGCGTCAGATTTTTATTTTCTTCTGAATTTACGTCATAAAAATCCGTCACTAAAAATTTTCATAAAAAATACGAGTGATGCTAGCTTAACGACGTAATATCTTCCAACCCACCTGACGCTAGTTAGTATAGAACCTGGTCGCCGGTAATTAACATCATCTGATAATAATTAGCGTTAGACTGGTTGGTCTTTATTCCATTGATTTAGCAGTGTCGGGTATTGAATGGCTGATTATTATATTTAGTGTCGGAATATTTCAATGTTAATTCGATGCAAACTTGTAAGAAACTATATATATATATATATATATATAAATTAAACGCCTTTCTGAAGCGTGCAATGGGATTCAGATTTCGGTGACTAACAACTTCTAACGGGCAACTCCTCCAACCAAAAATAGTGCCGACATATATATATATCAAAATGATTATATTTTCACATATCTACACATAACAAACACAATCAACATAATAGGGCATTTATCTATCATCAAAACTGATAAAAGAAATCTGCAACATATCTACATAATAATGTCAAATTAGATTAATATAAATAGATCAAAGTGTTCGAGATTCATAACACAAAAAACTGAAAACTTGCCTAAACAATAATGAAAAAAAATATAAAGCCAGTCTCTATGTTGGGGGAAGATCATCCAACACAGAAAAAAATTCCAATATTCCTTCTCATCATCATCCTGCTCCTCCTCCTCCTCATCTTCCTCGATCGGAAGCATATGTTGATTGCTCTGGTGATCAAAACTCTCCGTCAGGCATGCTAGACTATATGCAACCATCTGTTGGGCTTCATGCACCCATCAAAGCTCTTCATTCATCATCATGACCCACCTTACAAGCTTTTCGTGTTAAGCCTGTAACGAGCTAGGACCACCCACAACTACACGGGAATGCTCGACCTCAAATGTTATCTCCTTTGCTCCAAGTTCGTGTTTTCTCCCCTTCTTTTTCCTCGCCGCCTATATCCATAACTCAAATTCAGACTGAGCAGTGGTAAACTACTACTGCTACTGGCAGACGGCGAGGTCTGACTAATCATCTCTCTCTATCTCTCCTAGAGCTGCTCGTACTACTCCTACATAACAAAATTCAAACATTAATTAGCATACTAACAGCCCCCCAATAAAATAGAAAATAAATTTTCTTAACTTACATTGACACGTTGAGAGTGATCGGATACCCACTACTATGTGCCCGGGCACCGATGCGTGAGAACATGCAACTCTGCAGTGGATGGCTCTCGGTCAAGCTCCTTGGCATGTGTACATGATCAGATAAATATAAGAGTCTCATAATTACATAAATCGATAAGCTTCTGAATTTGGAGGATCGAACCTCCAATGTGGAGTGCAAAACCCTCTGCCCCTTCTTTCGTGTTGTAGTGAGCATATCCCTGAGCCTATGTCTAGCATGAACCTCAAAAATTCGTTGGATCAGCTGGTGAAGTTCCGGCGACCAGTAGAAAGACCTTTGCAAGTTAGAATTTTTGTGAGCTTCATTAGCATAAAAAATGTAGAAATAAAATTTATATTTTAAATTAAAATATAATAGCTCAAACATCTTAAAATACGTATCACGAGTTGTCATAAGGATCTGCTTCCATGAGAGATATGGCTGATCATACTTGCTCCGGATGATCTTCGTGATCTGCATTATGGGTGGTTTAGAGTGGTACAACATGCATATGAAACATTAGTTGCATTATTAAATAGAATAAAAATTGAAATTACTTTACTGTAAAAAAGAAGTTGACTTACGAGTCACCCTTCGGCTCAATATAGGCTCTATAAACGGTGTCAGCAATCTCAGGTGCTGAAGTCAAGGGGTCTTGCTCATCGAATGAAAAATCTAGGCAAAAATATGATGCATGAGTGGGAGGTGGTGCTGCAAGGGAGCTGGTGTAGGAAGATGGGCAACAAGAGAGGTTATCGAAGTGGTTGCATGAGTGACATACATGTCATCACTGCTGACGACCTTCTTCAGCCTCCGATATGTGTTTTTGAAAGTTCCCTAAATGTGTGTCTCTCTGGAGATGGAGCATTTGTTATTTGAAAAAGGAAAAAAAATAATTAGTAAACAGGGATAATATGTAATACAAGACTGAAAAGTAAAAGCATAATAGTGTAGAATGCCAACATGAAACATGTCGTAGCTACGCATAAAATCAATAAAAGTAAGCATGAAAACTACAGTGTAAGAAGCGAAAAAAAAGAGAAGGGTGATGTGTAAAAAAAAAGCTTAAATTCTTTATATTTTGCACATTTTTTATGGATAAAATTGTGCTTTAAGGAAATGTATTTTAATATTTTTCTTGCATGAATAATATGTATTATACATGGAGAAAAGTGAAGGATAAATGAAGCAAATGAAGAAGACTTGGAGCTAAGGAGGCTACAAGAGACATGAGCCTAGGCGTTGGTCCTAGCACTGGGAACCTGAGAGGCTGGCGCTTATGTGCCAGCCATTGGGCGCATAAGCCCCACCACTAGCTTCTTGGTGCCAGATTTATGGGTGCCTAAACGCTCAAAGCCAATTAGGCAACCAGAGAGACTGGCACTCAGACGTCAGAAATTGCCTTGGCATTTTTCAGCAATTCATACACACGATGTGGGGAGTTATTCAATCAGATAAAGAGTTTTAATGAGGAGTTTTTAGAGAAAGGAGAGGTTATAAGGAGTAAAAGAGGAAAAAATAGGATAAGTTTCATTGATCAATTGATGAGGAATTTGAGGTATATTGTGAGGAGATTATTCAGGAGAGCAGCAAGGGATCAGGAGATCCTTAGGGGAGCAATCTCAAAGCTTTGTAAAGGAGAGAAAGCTAGTACTGTGTATTTTTCTTATTATATTTCTATAAAAATAATTATTTAGTGTATTTTCTAGTTTTAAATGATGCTTTGTGGTGTGTTTTTCATGTGTTCTGAGTAGTTTCCTTTAACTTTTTCTTGTAATGGTTCAGTAGATTGTATAGGAGTGCAAAGTGTTTCTAAAATTGTTTTTTAAAATTTAATGTGATGAGTAACCTTCTAAATTTTATTTACTTTTCAATCTAGCCAATCGAATTGTTAAAATGTGTTGTGATCCATAATGACTCGGGAGAGCTATGGTAGAACAACTAGATTATTCACATTGAAGGTAAAAAAGAGAGATGCAAACTTTAGGGATATTGTCTTTGATGGGTTCAAGTTGGGGTTTAAGGAATTAAAAAAAATT